CCCCCCCCCTCCCGCGGTTCCGCACTTGGCGAGGGAGGGTGGCCGGGAGCCGGCCGCGGGGGTCGCTGCGGCTGCGGCGACCGCCGGGAGCGCGCCGGGAGTGGGTCGGGGGTCGCCGGGGCCGCCCCGGCCGCGCCGCTCCGCCGCAGCTCCGGCGCCGTCAATGGCCGCCCGCACACTGAGCCTCCATGACACGGCGCATGGCGCCCCCCCCCGCCACGCCACGCCCTCAGGGGCGGGGCTTCCCCCGCGCCGCGCGGTCATTGGCTCCGCCGCTCCCAGGGCGGCGCCTTCCCATTGGCCGAGCGCGCTGCCCGTCCGGGCGCGGGGTGGGAGGGGCGGGGGGGGCGGGGTTTGTGTTGGCGCGCGGGGGCCGGCGGGAGCCGCGCGGGGCAGCGCGCGCGCCCTGAGCACGTGGGGCGGGGAGGGGCGGGGCGGGGGGGGGGCCGTGGGGGGGGCGGGGGGGGGGTGGGCGGGGGGGGGGGGGGGGGGGCAGCGGCACGGGGGGGGGCCCGGGGGGGTCGGGGGGGGTCCAGGGAGGTGACGCGGGGTCACAGGGCCGGGAAATAGCTCTGTTCCGAACATAGGATAGGTTGGAGAGTTGGGCTGATTCCAACGGGATGAGGTTCAACGAGGCCAAGTGCCGGGTCCTGCACTTTGGCCACAACGATCCCGTGATCCCGTGCAGCCCCACAGGCTGGGGACAGAGTGGGGGGAGAGCGGCCAGACAGAGAGGGACCTGGGAGTTTGGATGGACAAGAAGCTGAACAGGAGCCAGAGTGTGCTCAGGTGGCCAAGAAGGCCGATGGATCCTGACCTGGCCCAGGAACAGTGTGGCCAACAGGGCCAGGGAAGTGATTCTTGCCCTGGACTCAGCACTGGTGAGGCCACCCCTGGAGTGCTGTGTCCAGCTCTGGGCCCTCAGCTCAGGAAGGACATTGAGGGGCTGGAGCAGGGCCAGGGAAGAGCAGCGAGGCTGGGGAAGGGTCTGGAGCACAATTCCCGTGAGGAGAGGCTGAGGGAGCTGGGGGGGCTCAGCCTGGAGAGGAGGAGGCTCAGGGGAGACCTCCCCACTCTGCACAACTCCCTGACAGGAGGGGGGAGCTGGGGGGGGGTTGGTCTCTTCTCCCAGGCAGGACAAGAGGGCTGGGTCTGAAGCTGTGCCAGGGCAGGGTCAGGTTGGAGATCAGGAAGAATTTCTTTCCAGAGAGGGTGCTCAGCCATTGGAATGGGCTGCCCAGGGAAGTGGTGGATTCTCCGTCCCTGGAGCTTTTTAAAAAGAGATTGGATGTGGCATCAGTGCCATGGTCTAGTAACCACAGTGGTGTTGGATCAAGGGTTGGACTTGATGATCTCAGAGGTCCCTTCCAACCCAGCTGATTCTATGATTCTATGATCTGAGCCCCTCGGTGGGGATACGTGGGATTTATGTCCCCCTCAGGGTGGATAGATGGGATTTACATCCCCCTGGGTAGGTATATAGAATTTAGATCCCCCTGTGGGTGGATATATGGGATTTAGATATCCTTGGGTGGGTATATGGGATTTAGATCCTGTCCAGGTGAATAGATGGAATTTTGATCCCCCTGGGTGGGGGTTTATATTCCCCTCTGGGTGGATAGATGGGATCTGTATCCCCCTGGGATGATAGATGAGATTCATATCCCCCTCGGGTTGGGATTTAGATCCCTCTGGAAGCACAGGAAGCTTTTTTCCTATTTAAAACGAATTAATTTTTCTCTCTGTGAGCTTTTGTCCCGGAAGATGATCCCACTCCAAGCCTGTGAGCCACCAACTTCCCTCGTGCCCAGGGGGAACAATTCCAAGACAAGCAATTCCAAATATTTACATATTAATTCTTTTAACTTCGGAGACATAAATAAATGGAGACATTTTGGCAACTTGGTGACAGAATAAAAAAAAAAACCCAAACAAAAACCAACAACCCAACATGAGAATCTCGGGTTTGTTCCAGCTTTGTTTAAATTCTGCAGAGAAAATATTTCCTGTTTCAGGATCAAATAGGGGAGAAGGCAGCCAAGGAGTTCAGCTGGTGTTTTGAGAAGGGGTTAAAAATAGGGAGCTGGGGGGAAAAAGGGAGTTGGAGGAGAAAAACAGAGTTTGTGAGGAGAAAACCAGGATTTCAGGGGGAAAAAAAAAAGGGCTTTGATGGGGGGAAGAAAGGGTTGGGGGAAAAATAGGCATTTAGGGAAAAAATGGGCATTTGGAAATCAAAGTCTGTTGGGGGGTTGGAGCAGAAGTGTTCCCTCATTGCAGAGTTGTGTGTATTCCTTGTTTTACCTTTATTGTGGGATTCCACCTGAGTGTGGAACCCTCCACGTGGGTGTTGCCCACCTCAGGACCCATTTACTTTGGAATTAGGTGTTGGCTTTTGGGCAGCAGCAGGAAAAAGGAATGGGAACAGCTCGTGTTCTCCACGTTGGGGCTTTAAGGGTTGGTGTTGATGGACAATGGTCCATCCGTGGGGAGGACGAGAAGTTGGGGATTCACTGAGGAACTTGGGAATATTAAAGGCAGGAGAGCAGCCCCAGCCCCTGTAATTGCCTAAATCTGCACAAATTCACCTTCACAGGGCACTAAAAAGGGGGTTTTCAACCCCGGAGCCAGCTCTGAGTGGCTCTTCCTGGGCCGTTTTTGTGTCCTTTCCTGGTGGGTTTGGGGCTGAAACCCCAAAATAACCCCGTGGGCTGCAGATCCCCCCCAGGACATCGTGCCTGGATCGTGGGAGTCGTGCTGGGAGCAGGATTTGGCTCTTGGAGGGTTTGACAAGGAGCTGCCCGAAAACACCGGAGACCTTGAGAGCCTTCTGCTCCCTTCCTGCCGGGAGATAACTGGGAAAAGGTTCTCACAAGTGCAGGGAAAATCCTCTTTGTGTTAAAGCTGCTTATCCCGGGGGTTTGCCGGGAGAGCCGGGCGGCCGCTCATGGAGCCCCCGGCCGGGGAGCCACCAGCACCCTCTGAGCAGGAGGAAGGGGGTAAATCTGGGAAAGGAACCTGGGAGAGGGCTGGGAGGATGGCAGGGGGAGGAAAAACCCCTGGCTGCACCACTGGGGAGGACACCCAGGAGAGCCTGGGGTTCCAAAGGGAAAGAGTTAAAATAACTCCTTGAACTCACCGTATTTTTCCCAGTCCCAGGGGTTTGCTCACTCCTGGTGTGTGCAAGTCTGCAGGTCCCACAGTGGAAAATCTGGGATTTTCTGCCAGCTGGAGCCTCAGGATGGACCCAGAGCGTTGGGGGTGGTTGAGGATGATCCAGCAGCAGGGACTGACCGACGCTGTTCCTGGTAGGAAAGTGCCTTTGATGTGGCAGGAAAAAAAGAGCATTTTTGGACTAAAGAGGTTTGGGTGAATATTTGCAGCTTTGGGAGCGGGGAGGGCATGTCCAGCCATCCATCTGTGATGTGATTGGGTCGGGACATCCCTATCCCAAAACAATGCTGGAAGGTGAGGGTTTGGCCAGGAAGGTTTGGAACTGGAGGGTTTGCTTGGGAAGGGAGCGATGCAATTTATGGTTAAGCCAGGTTACAACAAACTGGTTTGTTCTCCGTGTGTGTGCATTAGAGGGGTGGTTTGTAGGAATAAACCCATAAACTTCATGCACGTGCTTTATTTTCCTTCCCTTTCTTTTTACTCCAGGGTTGGAAATCTCACCACCCCGTGTTCCTAAATCGTTTCCCAAGGGAGCTGTTGGCCTTTTTTCGATGCACCCTGGTGGCAGCACAGAGCCAGGAGGTGGCACTGGCCAGCAGTGCATCCCCCAGCTGCTCCCAAGCCCGTTCCAGGCCTTTTGGCTTCCCTAGGAAACAAAACTCTTCTGCTTTCCGAGCCTGGGAGCCTGGATAACCTGGGTGTGCAATGGTGGGGAGTGTCTGGAGGGAGCTGGGGGCTCTGGGGACAATGTGACCCTGATCACCATGACCTCCCCTGTTGGCTTGACTCCACCTCCGTTGGCTTGACCTTGACTCATCCTCTGTTGACTGGTGGGAGCTCCAAGACCAGCTGGGTACACCTGGATCACTTTTCTATCCCTCCCTCCCAGTAACTCTTCCAAGGAAAAGCAACAAGTGTGGGGTTGCATGGTTTTTTTCCCACCCAAGAGGAATTTAACTCCAATTTCTTGACCAAACCCCCCCCACTTCTGGAACAGTTTGCTCTCCATGGGCAGCTGGGGAGGGGCTGGGTTGGTTGGAAGTTTCCTGGTCCAGCTTCTCATTGCACCCAAATATCGTGGGTGTTTCTGGAAAATACACAGTGTGAAGAGCAACTGTGGAAGAAATTAAACGAGAAGCTCCTGGCTGGGTGAGGAGGCTCAGGAAGATCCTTCTGATGGGACAAACCCCACGAGTTGCTGGTGTTTGTTGCTCCTGTTCTGGTGGCGTTTACGGATTTATTTACCACGACAGACGGTTGTTGGGGATTTTATTGGCAGGGGCTCCTATTTACAACAGAATCAGAGGAAATAGGAAAGGACTGAGGCATTACAAAGCTCTCTGAGTTTGCACTGTGGTCACAGTCCCCCCGTTGGAACCTTTGGGAGAGTCACCGCGGTTCCGGAGCGGAGGCGGCGCCTCGTGGGGAGGATGTTGTTCGTCGTTGCCAACACCTGATGAAGTTCTGATCTCCATCCCAGCTGCTGTGTCTGGAACAAGGGGAGAAGGTGAGGAAGTTCACGGCCCTGCGTGTGGCGGGATGGGGCCGGGGTGTTTCCTGGGAGAACAACCTGGAGAGCTCCAGCCACGGGAAAAGGTTGGCCCAGGTGGGACGGGGCTTGGAGCAACACGGGTTGGTGGGAGGTGTCCCTGCACGTGGAAGGGGGTGGTCTTCAAGGTTCATCCCAACCCAAACTATTCCGGGATTTTATGGAAGAAGGTTTTGGGCGGATGAACTGCAGGAGGTACCTGGGGCTGAGACCCAGTGTGAGCCAAATGGGTGCTCACCCCATGGAAGCTCCCACTGAAAATTCATTGGGAAAACGCCCTGAAAAGCCTCTCCAGGCCATCAGTGGCCACTGGAGCTGCTGGGGGGGTCCCCTTGGTGTCGCAGCCGGATGCCTGGGAGGGTTTGTTATCTTTCCATTGTTTTGGAAAGTTGCTGCTTCAGAGAGAATTGGATTTTCCAGGGTTGAAGGACACACTTTGAGCAAGTGTTGAAATCCCGGAATACCTTCGGAGGAGGAGCATGGGGGGGGTCATAGCAGGAGACCCCGGAGACTGAGGAGGGTGACGAGGGGGACGTGGCACTGGAGGGGTGATCCCGCTGAATCCCAGAAATCCTGTGGAGCCAAGGAAAATAAATCAGTCAAAAAGTCCCATGTTTTAATGTGCTTAAAAGCCTATGGCAGAGCTCATGTCCTGCAAAGTACCTGGCTGTCCTTGGCATTCCTGGAATCCCCTGGAGCATCCGTGCCTGGTATCCCTGAAATCTTGGTGGTGGCATCCTCTTGTGGAAACCACTGCCCAAAATCCCCCATGGTGTTTGTCTGGGTGTGGAGGAAAAGAAATAACCTGGGATGTCACAGCACAGGATTAACTCCTGAGGGATCCCTCTCTGGGCCAGGTTTGGGAGCATTCAATTAAGAAAACAAGGGATTTCTCAGTTTCTGTGCAAACTGTCACAATAAATCCCAACTCAAAGCTTTCCATGATTGTACTTCACGCACGTTCTGCTCAAACTCATTTCAGTCGTTCTGTGATCTAAAAACCGGTGGTTTTAACCCGTTTCTTTCTCCTTGTGGCAGCGGTTTGGGCAAGGAATCCCCTGGGGGTTTTTTTTTGGGGGGAAGATGCCAAGAGAAACCCAACTCACCTCGTAGGAATCCATCTCAAACGTGTAGGGGGTGGGCATTCCCGTGGTGTTGTCGTAGTAATAGTCTCCCGTGGAATAGAGGTAATCACCTGGAATGGAAACAGCTCTGGGGGCTGAGGGGGCACAGAGGGGGTTGGGACACTGTGCCCTGTCCCTTGTGGGGTGACACGAGTCCCACCCCCCCCCCATGAGGGGTTGTTATTGCATGGCTTTCCCCCTCTGAGCACCAGTGTAACTCAGATTAGTCTGGATAGCTGGGATAAATCCCTGGCAGTGCTCAAGGCTGGGCTGGATGGAGCTCGGAGCAACCTGGGCTAGTGGAAGGTGTCCCTGCTCGTGGCCGGGATTTTAAGGGTGGATCTTTAAGGACCCCTCCCACCCAAACCATTCCATGATTCCATGAAATAACTGAGTAGCTGTCATTGCAGAGGACTCCATTCAGTGGTGCCTTTCCATGGGCAAAGCCTCATCTCCCTGCCTGGAGGAGGCTGGATGGAGGCTCCCACAGCCCTCCCAGCCCTGCTTATCCCAGCTGGCTCCTGTGGCTCCCAGGAAGGGGTGAAAATGCCTTTAAAAACTGCTTTTCTCACTGTAACGAGCTGCGTAGTCGAATAAAAACTGCGTGATCTCCTCCTCGTCGTCTTCTACCTCTGCATTCCCTAAAAACAAACAGACAACACACGGATCATCACCCGGCACCGCCAGCAGAGCCTCGGGTCGAGCCAGAGCTTTGGGCAAAACCCCTTCCCTGTGGGAGTCATGGATTCACCATCTGACCCATAGCTGGGTCCAAGGCTTCCCAACAAAAGGTGTGGGAGATCGGAGGGTTTTCCTTTATTTCTGGGTGTGGATGTCCCAGAAGTGGGAGATGCAGCAGTGGGGATGGAGCCGGAGCCAGAGTTATGTTGGGATGGATCTGCCTTTGGGATGAGCTGCTCCTCCAGCATCCTGGCTGCTCCAGTGGCCCTCGTGCTTTTGGCTGTGGAGCTGCCGAGGGCTCGGAATGGAGCCTCCTGTTTCCTTAGGGCTGAGCCACCAGAAATAGATTCTGACCCGTGTGACATTGTCACAGCTGGAGCAAGAGGCTCATTCCCTTTTCCAAACACGGGGTTTGGTATGTTTTCATAGAATCACAGGATCAAGCGGGTTGGAAAAGACTTCCAAGATCATCAAGTCCAACCCTTTATCCCTGTCAGGATCTTATATGGGGTTTATATTCCCCTCTGGGTGGATAGATGGGATTTAGATCCCCCTCTGGATAGCTAGATGGGATCTGTATCCCCCTGGGATGATAGATGAGATTCATATTCCCCTCGGGTTGGGATTTAGATCCCTCTGGAAGCACGGGAAGCTTTTTTCCCATCAGGGTCTTATAAAGCAAATTAATTGGGAATACTGATACTCTCATTCTCACAGACTCCGGCACTAAGATAAGATATTCATGAGCATAGAAGATACTCATGGAATAATATGATGGTTTTATAGTTTGGTACTCATTTATAGTCTTAAGTAAGATAGAGTATTGTTACTGTGACACCATTAGCAGCTGGAATGATGCCCTCAGTTGTGTCCAGGGCTGGCTGGAGATCCAGGTCCCTCTCCAAACCTTCCCACCGCTTCCCATCATATCCCTGACTTTCTCAGTGCCCAGCAGTGGCAGAGCAAGAAGCCCAGATCCCGAAATTCTCATTAGGGAATTCTCTGAAAACACTGACTCAGCCTGGAGGTTCCGGGGTGGGACTGGGGGACACGACACAGCCTCGCCCATTGCTGTGTCAGCACCTCGGTCTGTCCCACCCCCATCCCGAGCTTTTGGGGAAATTTGAACTGAAATGGGGACCTGCCCTCCCACCCCCGCTCCCTTCCCACGCTCATCCTTTGAAAATACTCCAGTGGCACGAACTCCAGCTCTGGGGCACATTATCCCATGCTTTCCCAGGAAGTTATTTCCAGTCAGCTCTTGTGTTTGCACTGGAGCCACGCTAAGAATAATATCCCGAAAAAAAAAGCAAAAAAAAGCTCCCAGCTGGGAATCCTCCCACTTTTAACACCTCACCTTCAGGGAGGAGGAGGAAGAGGAGGCTGAAGGCTCTTGGCGTGGCAGAGCCACAGTTTCCAGCTCCTCAGCCGGTGCTGCTCCGTATCCCACCTTCCCAGAGAGGTGGGAATATTGGGCTCATCCCTAAGCAGCTCCAAGTGGGGGTTTCCTCCCTCAACACCCCCATCCGCTCTCCCCCGTCTCCGCACTGCCCACCTAATTCTCCAGGAAATCCTGTTGGATTTTTTTTTCCCTCCCTATCTGTGTCTCTAATAGCTCCCAGCTGGATTCTACAAATGATTTGAACTCAGTGTGGGAAACATTAGTTACCCCGCCGTTCTCCAAGCACGGACTTTATGGAGCTCCCAGTAATTACAGAGCGCTTTCCCCTTGTTTTCTTTGCCCCCACAACCCTCTTCTCCAAGCCAACACCCCAAGACCTCTCAGCCTCCCAGATTCCTCCCCCCCCCCCAGGTGCCCCGCGGCATCTCAGGAGCGTGGGAATCGTCAGAGCAGCGAGATAAAAATCAAAGTACCCCCAAAGAACCCCCCGGGGAGAAGCCGGGGAACTGGTTTACCTGGGACGAACTGCAGAACCAGGAGCGCGGCGATGAAGAAGTTCATCCTCCTGCCTTGGGTGTCGTCCGCTGCCGCCGCTGCTCCGCGGGACTTTCTCGAGCCCGTCCCCACGGAGGCAGGAAATGACTCTTGGGGGGGGGCCGGGCTGAGCGGTTCGATGTCCTTGGTAGCTCCGAGCAGCGCCCGGGTCGTGCCCGGCGGGCGAGGCCGGGCAGGAGCGTGTCCCGCACGCTGCCCGCGACGCCCCGCTCGGGAACGGGCAGAGCTGCCCGTGCCAAAGGCTGAGTTGCAAATCTCGGGAAGTTTTTCCCCCCCCCCGGGAGAGGGTTAGTGCCGCTGGATGAACTCCGGGATGGAGGGAGGATGGTTTTGATTATGTTCTAACGGAGCGGAGCTATAAATAGCAAATCCTTCTGGGAGAGAGGCGAAGGCAGAGACGCGGACTGGGAGAGGCAGAGTCAGTCCCGACTTCCCGTAAAATCTTGGGGGATTTTTTTGTCTTGGCTTCGTTTCCCCTTCCCGTGCCTCGGTTTCTCAGTCATGAAGAAGAAACACGAACGGTCATGTATTTGTTTTATAGTGGATAAAAACACCCTGGGCTGGGATGATTCCGGAGCCGAGCCCGGTGTTCCCGGTCGGCTCCTTGGCCCGTGTTGGATGAGCTGCTGGTTCTCCTCCTTCTCTGAAAATAGAAGCCAAATAGGAAGAACATTTATTGGAGGAAAAACAGGGAGGAAAAGAAGATCCAGCCCTTCTGCTTTGTGGGGAGTAGCTGATAGCGAGGGGCTCCTGCCAGGAGCCGGTGGGATGTGGGGGAGAGCTGGTGAGAACCTCAAGGGGGAAGGAAAAGGGGAAGTGAAGGAGACAGAGATGAATCAGGTGGTGTAAAACCAGTATTTTGGCAACTCTCAGAGGTTAGAAAATCAGCAAAGAGCAAGATAAGTCTTGGATTGTACAGGAGGAGCTCTGTTTTGAGGTGTGGAATCATGGGATGGTTTGGGTTGGGAGGGACCTTAAAGCTCATCTCGTCCCACCCCCCTGTTGTGGGCAGGGACACCTTCCACCAGATGAGGTTGCTCCAATCCCTGTCCCACCTGGCCTTGGACACTTCCAGGGACAAGAAGAAACTTATAACTGGGAAAATTCACCTGGAAAGAGAACCATTCCCAGATGGAGGGTGGTCGGACATGGGACAACCCCGGGAGGAGGCGCAGCCCGTACTCTCCCCTTGTCTTTATCCACCATCCCTCAAGGCACATTCTCCCTATCATAAAATCTTTTCCCAGCCCTATATTTCCAATCTCTCTGGGAAAACAGCGGGAGGATGATGCTCCTCCTCATGAACCCCCGGCTGGGTCCCTTTTCCCTCCCTGTGGGTGCTCACGGGAGCAGAAGCAGAAGTTTCCTCCTCAAGATTAGGAAGGGGAAGCGGGTTTTCCGTGGATGGAAGGGGTTTAATGGCAACAGCTGGGCTGGGCCAGGTGGGACCAGAGGGAAAGGGCTGCAGGAGGGGAGGGAAAACCACCAGGATGGGTGTGGAGACCCCTGGGGCAACCACCAGGAGATTCACAGTGGGGGGTGCATTTCACCTCCTCGGGCTGTTGATTTTAGTCCAAGGATTCCTGTTGATGTTAAGCCAAGAGTTCCTATGGATTTCAAGCCAAGGATTCCTATCGATTTTAAGCCCAGAATTCCTCTCCATTTTAAGATGAGGATTTCTGTCGACGCTGTGCCAGGAATTCCGACTGATTTTTAAACCAAGAATTCCTGTAGATTTTATGACAAGGATACTAAACGATTTTAAGCCAAAAATTCCTCAAAGTAGACTTTTTTTTCCAACCAAGAGTGGACCCAGCTGAAGAGCTTTGCCATCCCAAACCCAATTCCCATCCTCCCAGGGCTCTCCCTGCTTTGCCAAAGGGGCTTCTCCCGTCCGTAGGGAGATGCTCAACAAAGGGTTAAGTGCCAAGGAATGTTGAGCAGGAAGTGAATCTCTCCAAACCCTCCTCTCAACCCACAGAAATAACATCAAATCTCAAAAATCCCAACCCAAGCAGAAATCTGACCTCGTTGGGATGAATCCCCCCAGAGCTGGAGCTGCTGGGGGGGGCAGGGAAAGGTTAAAATATCCTGGGATTAAAGGGATGGGGAGGGAAGGGGCGAGGAAGGTCCATGAGGACAGGGATGGATGAGTGGATGGGGTTGGAGGGACAAACCCCTTGGCGTGGGAGCTGGGAGTCAGAGTTCAGCGGGATCTGCTGGCTCAGCACTGGGAACGGCTCCTCAGGGCTGGGTGTGATCATGTAAGCCTTGCAAAAACTGGGAAAACTTGGAGAATAAACCAAGGGACCTGGCTAAAATGTGCCATGAGGTGGTAAAAGCAGGAAACGGCTGTTCTTCCCTTGCTGGGACCAGCTGGCACATCCCAGCTGCATCCTGCATCCCAGGTGTGGGTCTGGAGTTGTGTTTCTGTCTGGAAAAGGAAAACACTCTATTTTTGTTCATGGGGGTTTTTTTTTTCCTTTTTACCTTTTTTCTTACTCATTTTTCACGTGTGGCAACACAGAGCGAACCCATCTCAGCCCCAGCAAGGAGCCAACCCAACAGCTTTTCCACCTCCCATCCCAAAACCTTGTTTCCTATTCCCCAGATCCCTGTGTTGCTCAGTCAACTTTATTGCCTTGTTTTTTCTATATTAATATTAAAGATTTTTCTGCCAAAATCCGACAGTAAAAGCTGCCACAGAGATGGAGCAGCAAGGGAGCGATGCCTTTCCTGGGGGTAAAACTCAAAGGGAAAGGGGGAAGGGAAGGAAAAAGAGGGAAAAAGGAAGGAAAAGGAGGCAAATGCAAGGAAGAAGAAGGAGGCCACTGGTCCTTGCTGTGCCCAGGGAGCTGCATCCCAGGGATGCTCCGGGCATCCAGCACGGTGGATCCTGGAAACCCCTGGAAAGCTCCAGGGGTTTCACTCGAAGGAGGAAGATGGGATGAAGTCAGGGCTGTGTCATTTCCCAGCTTTAATAGGCGGAAGCGAAACCAGAAGGGAAATTAATCCACGGCAGCCGGTGGCTCCCGGCTCTGCCCCGAACAATGCCCCGTGCCCAGGAGGTGGCATCCGCAGGATCCCTACGGAAGAGCCTGGAGGGTGTGTGGGGGGGGCATTGTTTGGAGTTTTCCCTGCAGGAGACGTGGAGATGGATGAAGGAAACCCCCAAAATCCGATCCCTCGTGGCACCGGTGGCTCGGAGGTGGGTGGGGTGAGCTGCCCATCCCACGGGGGGGACACGGAGGGGCTCTGGGGCCGGGCTGTTTTCACCTCCCCACTACCCCCCCTCCCGAGGGGATTTTTTAGTCTAAATAAAGTTTTCCTGCCCTTCCCAGCTCCTCTGTAAACAGTGGCACCAGTGGGTGGGGGTTGGAGGGTGGTGTTTGTGGAATCAGAATGAGAGATGTGAGCGACTTAGAATAGAGAAAAAGGCTGGTTTAGGCAGGAATTCCTTGAGGATAGGATAGGGTGGAATGGAATGGAATGGAATGGAATAGAATAGAATAGAATAGAATAGAATAGAATAGAATAGAATAGAATAGAATGGTGCTGGGGATGGATGACACTGGGGATAGGTGACACTGGGGAGGGGTGACCCTGGGGTCGAGTGACACTGCAGATGGGTGATGCTGAGCACAGGCTGTATCAGGTGTCTCCCAGCGTAGCTCCTGTCCCGAGTGTCCCCTGCCCCGAGTGTCCTCTGTCCCGAGTGTCCCCTGTCCAGAGTGTCCCCTGT